ACTTTACCACTATCTATTTGCATGGTTGGGCTACTGGTACTCATGTTTAATTTATATTTTCTTTTATTTTTAAAATTTCATTACTTTTTTGCAAAAACTAATTAAAGCAATATTTATTTTTCTTATTTATTTAATTGATACATACAAAAAAAAGGCATTTAATATAATATAATTCTCACACTTTCTGTTAAGTTAAAAAATATTTAAAATTAAATCATTAAAGATTTAGAAGAAAAAAATTGTGTGTTATTTTCTAATTTAGAAAGCATAAGTATTACGAAACATAGATCTGGACCGTTGGAAGGTTTTTTATGATGATATTCCCATAATAAAACAACATTTCATTTTTAATACCAATTATTGTTCATTATTTTTTTGTTTAATATTTAGAGCAAATATTTTTCAAATACAATTTTGAAATAATATGAGAAAAATAGCAGCATTTAGGAATTAGAAAACTAAAGAAAAAATATTTTACTTTTTTTTTTTTTTTTTGCTTGTTTCCGGTTAAAATTTACATGCAACTTAACCTTTTATAGCAAGTAAAGGATATTTAGCAAATTAAATCAAAAATTTAAATATAAAAAAAGTACAAATATAATAGAAAAGGACAGGGGAGGGATGTGTTGTATAATTTAAAATTAATTTGCATGTACTTCACGGGGTGAATTTAAAGAGTTGTTTAATTCATTAGGTTCAGTACATTTCCAGAGACCATAAGTTTTGCCCACAGTAGTTTGCCATAAACGCAAAGTACCATCCTCAGAACCACTGGCATATAGTTCACCATCGGGCGAAAATTTCACTGAGTGAACAGGACCAAAGTGGCCCTTAAAAGATTCTATAAAAAATAATAGAAAAATAAATTATAAATGTTTACAAACAAATATAACAATTACAAACTCACCAATTTCATTGCCAGTTATATAATCAAATTTATACATTTTAAAATCTTCACCACCACACACAAACACATGTTTATCCGGATGCAAACTGGCCGACGAGACATTAGTGGGCACCTTAACTTCTTTAAGTTTCTTCAATGTTTCCACTTCCCAAAAACTAATACTGGAACCATGAGTTATCGTAAGTATATGATTGTCTGCGGAAATCTCTAAACTATTCGGATTGTTGGGGAATGAAAGACGTTGCACCTCATTGCCGGTCAAACGATCCCACAAACGTACGGTCTTATCATCAGCTGCCGTTATAATGCACTTATCATTGCGACAGAATAGTGCTCTTTTAATTGCGCCACCATGACCGCTATACATTTCGGGCTCAGCCTGTGGCTGTTCGAGATTAAAGACACGTACCAATTTCTCATTGCTGCCTGTAACTATATTCTCGGAATTCGTATCAAATGCCACCGATTTAACAATGTGTTTGTGTTGGAAACTATGTAGTTCACCGCCTGTAATGGCATTCCATACTTTTCCCGTAAAATCTGCTGCACCTGAAGCTGCCAAGGTGGCATTTTTATTTAAAGCTACACCCCATACAGCTCCCTTGTGACCCTCAAATGTACCGATCCAATCGCCGGTATCACCCTGCCGTAACATGGGACTGCCATCTAGAAATAAAAAGAGAAACGGCAATTACAAAAAAGAACGTTTATTTTTTAAAAAAAAGCTTTTTAAATTGTATTTTTGTTTCACTTGTTTTTTTTTTTGTAAATTATAGTTTGCGGAAACAACCTTGACTCAATGACTTGCCTCAATGCCAACGACCTGATAGCCCCACCATTTACTCACATAATACATTACAGGCACACAACAGCGACAACAAACAACATCAGCAGGTATCGACTAGCATGATGTCCGTCTCTTTGTCTGTCTGTCTATACTTTTAAAGCATAAAACGAGAATTGCATTGTTTGTTGTAGTGAAAAAAAACTTTTTTAAAATTACATTTCTGTCTGTTCTGCCGATATTTTTAATATTTTTTGTGTATGGAATTTAAATGCAAAATTATGTAGAGCTTAACTCGTATTACCGGTATTATGAATGATTCTACAGGTTTTATTTGAATTATAATTTTATTTAAAGAAATTCCTAAATAAGCTTTAAAGCTTTAATAAAAATTAAGAACTCAAGTTTCCAAATTCTATATAATTCAATATATTAGCCCTATTGTAATCTGGGTTAAGACCATAATCTTTAAGTCTATAGTCTAGTCTATAGTCTAGTCTATAGTCTAGTCTATGGTATAGTCTATAGTCTAGTCTATAGTCTAGTATATAGTCTAGTCTATACTCTAGTATATAGTCTAGTCTATAGTCTAGTCTATAGTTTAGTCTATAGTCTAGTCTATAGTTTAGTCTATAGTCTAGTCTATAGTCTAGTCTATGGTATAGTCTATAGTCTAGTCTATAGTCTAGTATATAGTCTAGTCTATAGTCTAGTATATAGTCTAGACTATAGACTAGACTATAGTTTAGTCTATAGTCTAGTCTATAGTTTAGTCTATAGTCTAGTCTATAGTTTAGTCTATAGTCTAGTCTATAGTTTAGTCTAGTCTATAGTCTAGTCTATAGTCTAGTCTATAGTCTAGTCTATAGTCTAGTCTATAGTCTAGTCTATAGTCTAGTCTATAGTCTAGTCTATAGTCTAGTCTATAGTCTAGTCTATAGTCTAGTCTATAGTCTAGTCTATAGTCTAGTCTATAGTCTAGTCTATAGTCTAGTCTATAGTCTAGTCTATAGTCTAGTCTATAGTCTAGTCTATAGTCTAGTCTATAGTCTAGTCTATAGTCTAGTCTATAGTCTAGTTAGTCTATAGTCTATAGTCTAGTCTATAGTCTAGTCTATAGTCTATTCTATAGTCTAGTCTATAGTCTAGTCTATAGTCTAGTCTATAGTCTAGTCTATAGTCTAGTCTATAGTCTAGTCTATAGTCTAGTCTATAGTCTAGTCTATAGTCTAGTCTATAGTCTAGTCTATAGTCTAGTCTATAGTCTAGTCTATAGTCTAGTCTATAGTCTAGTCTATAGTCTAGTCTATAGTCTAGTCTATAGTCTAGTCTATAGTCTAGTCTATAGTCTAGTCTATAGTCTAGTCTATAGTATAGTCTATAGTCTAGTCTATAGTATAGTCTATAGTCTAGTCTATAGTCTAGTCTATAGTCTAGTCTATAGTCTAGTCTATAGTCTAGTCTATAGTCTAGTCTATAGTCTAGTCTATAGTCTAGTCTATAGTCCAGTCTATAGTCTAGTCTATAGTCTAGTCTATAGTCTAGTCTATAGTCTAGTCTATAGTCTAGTCTATAGTTTAGTTTATAGTCTAGTCTATAGTCTAGTCTATAGTCTAGTCTATAGTCTAGTCTATAGTCTAGTCTATAGTCTTGTCTATAGTCTAGTCTATAGTCTTGTCTATAGTCTAGTCTATAGTCTAGTCTATAGTCTAGTCTATAGTCTAATCTATAGTCTAGTCTATAGTCTAGTCTAGTCTATAGTCTAGTATAGACTAGACTAGACTAGACTATAGACTAGACTAGACTATAGACTAGACTAGACTAGACTATAGACTAGACTATAGAGTCTATAGTCTAGTCTAGTCTATAGTCTAGTATATAGTCTAGTCTAGTCTATAGTCTAGTATAGACTAGACTATAGTCTAGTCTATAGTCTGGTCTATAGTCTAATCTATACTCTAGTCTATAGTCTAGTCTATAGTCTAGTCTATAGTTTAGTCTATAGTCTAGTCTATAGTCTAGTCTATAGTCTAATCTATACTCTAGTCTATAGTCTAGTCTAGTCTATAGTCTAGTCTATAGTCTAGTCTATAGTCTAGTCTATAGTCTAGTATATAGTCTAGTCTATAGTCTAGTCTAGTCTATAGTCTAGTCTATAGTCTAGTCTAGTCTATAGTCTAGTCTATAGTCTAGTATATATAATTCAATATATTAGCCCTATTGTAATCTGGGTTAAGACCATAATCTATAAGTCTATAGTCTAGTCTATAGTCTAGTCTATAGTCTAGTATATAGTCTAGTCTATAGTCTAGTATATAGTCTAGTCTATAGTCTAGTCTATAGTTTAGTCTATAGTCTAGTCTATAGTTTAGTCTATAGTCTAGTCTATAGTTTAGTCTATAGTCTAGTCTATAGTTTAGTCTAGTCTATAGTATAGTCTTGTCTATAGTCTAGTCTATAGTCTAGTCTATAGTCTAGTCTATAGTCTAGTCTATAGTCTAGTCTATAGTCTAGTCTATACTCTAGTCTATAGTTTAGTCTATAGTCTAGTCTATAGTCTAGTCTATAGTCTAGTCTATAGTCTAGTCTATAGTCTAGTCTATAGTCTAGTCTATAGTCTAGTCTATAGTCTAGTCTATAGTCTAGTCTATAGTCTAGTCTATAGTCTAGTCTATAGTCTAGTCTATAGTCTAGTCTATAGTCTAGTCTATAGTCTAGTGACTAGACTCTAGTCTATAGTCTGGTCTATAGTCTAGTCTATAGTCTAGTCTATAGTCTAGTCTATAGTCTAGTCTATAGTCTAGTCTATAGTCTAGTCTATAGTCTAGTCTATAGTCTAGTCTATAGTCTAGTCTATAGTCTAGTCTATAGTCTAGTCTATAGTCTAGTCTATAGTCTAGTCTATAGTCTAGTCTATAGTCTAGTCTATAGTCTAGTCTATAGTCTAGTCTATAGTCTAGTCTATAGTCTAGTCTATAGTCTAGTCTATAGTCTAGTCTATAGTCTAGTCTATAGTCTAGTCTAGTCTATAGTCTAGTCTATAGTCTAGTCTATAGTCTAGTCTATAGTCTAGTCTATAGTCTAGTCTATAGTCTAGTCTATAGTCTAGTCTATAGTCTAGTCTATAGTCTAGTCTATAGTCTAGTCTATAGTCTAGTCTATAGTCTAGTCTATAGTCTAGTCTATAGTCTAGTCTATAGTCTAGTCTATAGTCTAGTCTATAGTCTAGTCTATAGTCTAGTCTATAGTCTAGTCTATAGTCTAGTCTATAGTCTAGTCTATAGTCTAGTCTATAGTCTAGTCTATAGTCTAGTCTATAGTCTAGTCTATAGTCTAGTCTATAGTCTAGTCAATAATCTAATCAATAGTCTAGTCTATATTCTAGTTTATAGTCTAGTCTATAGGCTTGTCTACAGTCAGTCTATAGTCTAGTCTATAGTCTTTCCATAGTCTAGTATATAGTCTAGTCTACAGTCTAGTTTATAGTCTATTGTTCAAACTATAGTCTAGTCTACAGTTCAAACAATAGTCTAGTCCAGGGGTCGGCAAACTACGGCTCGCGAGCCAAATGCGGCTCTTTGGATGTGGAGCTATGGCTCTTTAGTTTCATACGTATTTTTTTATTTTATAAAAAAAATATATACATATATTAAAATCTTTCTGAATAGATTAACGAGCAGTGTTTGTTAAAACTAACAAAACAATTCGCATACGTTTCTACAATATACACAACATTTCAACTTTGTTTAATCCTTCTGCATGTGAGACAACTAACAAATGAAAGTTTAGAGTCGTTTGTGAAACTTTAAACAACAAGTTATGATCCAAACTTTCTAAAGCTATACAAACCTATCTCTCCTATTGAATTTGTTCCATGTACAAGTATTGTAAGAAAATGTTTAATTCTTTAAATTTTTAGTTGAAAAGTTCCCTATAAACGATGGGGTATCATGAGCGCTCCTACGAAGTGCCATTAGATAAAATGTAAAACATGATCATACATTCCGAAATTTTCGTGTTTTTGAATTAAAAAATATTTTTTGGAAATTGAAAATATAGTAATTAAATAATTACTTAATAATGTAGAGAGTTTGGACACAGTTACCCAGGAAAAACTTACATTGAAAAGTCGTGAGTTAAAAAGCTAATAAAACCTCTTTTCACTACTTCTTCATTAGCATTTTAAGTCATTATTTTAACACGGTGATGTCATTGGAGGCAAGTACTTCTACGCACGCTTACTAATAGGAAGTTAAAAAAGTACTTGCAATTTCTCTTACAAAACAGTTGTTGAGTAAGTTGTTTTGTTTTTTAATAATAAAAAGAGCCAGCTAGGATACGAACCAGGGACTTCGATTTTTTAGTCAAATGTTCTACACACTGCATAGCTATTTATTTTATTGCGCATCAAATAATGGTTTTCACATCAAAATTAATTTTGTTTTATTTTTTGTAAAACACAATACTTAAAACGACAAAAAAATGACAATGCCGAAAATAAAGTACTTCTATATCAGATTATAAGAAAGTTATTACTAGAATACTTCTAAGTAATGCAGACGGTAAGTAGTAGTCATTGAAAAGTAAGTGGTTATGGAAGTACAACCCATTACCGAATTTTTGGCTGGGTAAATACTAAAAACTTGTTCTATTTAAAAACTTCAATATTTAAATATTGCGCGTTTTAGAAACGTTTTACAGTGTATTATGGACCGACACATCCTTACAAAATTTGGTAATGAGATCTTGGACCCTACTTGTTTGTGTTGATTTTCATCACTATACTTGTATTTTTCGTCGTTTTCGTGAACACTATATGGGTGGGTAGGGTCAATTCTGAATCCATCCTTATTAAATTTGGTATAGATATATTTGTTCCTATAAACTTGTTTATGACGAATTTCACCACTATGCTGGTATTATTAAGCATGTTATGAGCGTTGAAGTCATTTCCTGAAGAGGAATTTATATGGGGGTATGGTCAACAATGAACTGATCCTTACAAAATTTTGGAGAGAGATTTTCGTTCCTATAATACTTGTTTGTGTCGAATTGCGTCGCTATACTAATATGTATTATTAAATCAGTTATGAATGTTAAAGTTATTTTCCGAAGTAGACCTTTTTAAAGGGGATTTGTCAATTATGTTTTGTTTGTGTTGAATTTTGTCATAATATTGCTATTATTAAGACAGTTATGAACGTTAAAATCAAATTTGGAAGATAGATATTTGTTCTTATAAAACTTGTATATTTTGAATTTCGCTGCTATATTGCTACTGTTAAGTCAATTATGATCGTTAGTCATTTTCTGAAAATGACCTAATATTGGGGTTGGTAAAATATTTATCTCGATTGCCGCCAAAATAATATATTACTTTATACTGTATTAGCTGCGTCATCAATTTTCGTGATTTTTACATTTCCTGATATGTTTCCAAATGCCTTTTAAATGATAACACTGTCGCCCTACTCTAATAAACTTCTATATTTTTATATAACGAGTGCTTAAAAAATGCATTCGAATGACCCATATAAATTCAAAAAGTATTTGTAGTCAAAAATCTATATGTAAGATTCTTTGCAGAATGTCCTGTAGATAATTAATCCAAGTTTATGTTTTTGAAGTGAATTCATAAAGTATTTGTAAAGTTTTAATAAACAACAATTTTGTGGGTCTTTTAAAACATATGTTTTGTAAACTGTAATTTTTGGCTCTTCCGACTCAAAAGTTTGCCGACCCCTGGTCTAGTCGATAGTTCATAATATAGTCTGCTTCATAGTTTAGAATTAGTTCTGTCTGTAGTCTATAATCCAGACGCTAATCTACTCTATAGTATAAAGTGAACTCTTAAAACATCTCTTAATGCCAAAAATAGGTTATTTTAACCAAACAGTTATTTACTATAATAAAAATACATTATCTTAAAAATAACTGTAAACTAAACACGAATACTTGCATAAATAAAAATGATTAAATTAGAAAACTAAAATTGAAAATGAAAGCTGTTTATATGTAAATATACATGACATGATGTTAAGTTTAAATAATGATTTAATAAAATAATTTCATTAAAATTAAAATTGAATTATAAATACATATTCAAGAATACATTTCGTAATATTCTGTGTAATCAAGGTGATCAAGAACAAATGAATGAATGTTTCAAATAAAAAAGCAACAAAACAAACTAAATCATTAACAGAGAAAAAAAGAAAATCTAAAAAATACACAACAAAATGTTTAAAACAAAGAAAGAAAAAAAAACATTTAATAAAAAATATTATAAAATAACAACAAATTATTTTGCTTTCTACTTTAAAACTAAATTTTAAAAATTATTTAGAAAACTATACAAAAATTATTTGTTATTTTAAAGCTCTCACAATAAATGATTAAAAACAACATGAGAAATTTCAAGGTGCTTCCCGTATGTGCAACGAGTTTATCAACGAATCAATAACAAGCAGTCACCAGCAAACATCTCTCACTTAAAGGAAATTAATTACAATAACTGCACAATACTTCAGAAAATTGCAGCAGATCTGCTGCTTTGTAATAAAACGTCAGTACGTTTTACAAACACAATAAAGAAATTAATTAATTTCAAATATTTCTTTTTGTTTTCCTTAAATAATTTTGAAATAAAACAACAAAACTTGTTGTTGAAACCAATCAGGAAAAAAACGTAATGCAGCAAAACAGTAAACAGCAATAAAAATAAGATGTTTTTGCAAAAAAAGTTGTCACAAAAATGTTGTCGGAAATTCTAAAATGAATAAACATCAACATAAAGAGATAATTTTATGAAAGTTAATATAAACAAAATAGTCTGTATGGGTTGAAAATCTATTATAATAGGATTTCAAATGGCCAAAATCTAGCCTATAGTCATGATTATATGATTGAAACTATAGTCTCAACTACAGACAAGTCTATAGACATAATTAAAGTTTAGGCTATAGTTTCGAGCCTATAGGCTCGACTACAGGCTAGTTTATAGTCTAGTCTCGACTATAGTCCAGTATATAATCTAGTCTTTAGCCTCAACTATAGATTAGTCTGTAGTCTAGTCCATTCTAAAGTCTAGTCTATAGTTTAGTCTATAGTCCAGTCTATAGTCTAGTCTATAGGCTCGACTACAGGCTAGTTTATAGTCTAGTCTCGACTATAGTCCAGTATATAATCTAGTCTTTAGCCTCAACTATAGATTAGTCTGTAGTCTAGTCCATTCTATAGTCTATCCTATAGTCTAGTCTATAGTCTAGTCTATAGTCTAGTCTATAGTCTAGTCTATAGTCTAGTCTATAGTCTAGTCTATAGTCTAGTCTATAGTCTAGTCTATAGTCTAGTCTATAGTCTAGTCTATAGTCTAGTCTATAGTCTAGTCTATAGTCTAGTCTATAGTCTAGTCTATAGTCTAGTCTATAGTCTAGTCTATAGTCTAGTCTATAGTCTAGTCTATAGTCTAGTCTATAGTCTAGTCTATAGTCTAGTCTATAGTCTAGTCTATAGTCCAGTCTATAGTCTAGTCTATAGTCTAGTCTATAGTCTAGTCTATAGTCTAGCCTATAGTCTAGTCTAGTCTATAGTCTAGCCTATAGTCTAGTCTATAGTCTAGTCTATAGTCTAGTCTATAGTCTAGTCTATAGTCTAGTCTATAGTCTAGTCTATAGTCTAGTCTATAGTCTAGTCTATAGTCTAGTCTATAGTCTAGTCTATAGTCTAGTCTATAGTCTAGTCTATAGTCTAGTCTATAGTCTAGTCTATAGTCTAGTCTATAGTCTAGTCTATAGTCTAGTCTATAGTCTAGTCTATAGTCTAGTCTATAGTCTAGTCTATAGTCTAGTCTATAGTCTAGTCTATAGTCTGGTCTATAGTCTAGTCTATAGTCTAGTCTATAGTCTAGTCTATAGTCTAGTCTATAGTCTAGTCTATAGTCTAGTCTATAGTCTAGTCTATAGTCTAGTCTATAGTCTAGTCTATAGTCTAGTCTATAGTCTAGTCTATAGTCTAGTCTATAGTCTAGTCTATAGTCTAGTCTATAGTCTAGTCTATAGTCTAGTCTACAGTCTAGTCTATAGTCTATAGTCTAGTCTATAGTCTAGTCTATAGTCTATAGTCTAGTCTATAGTCTAGTCTATAGTCTAGTCTATAGTCTAGTCTATAGTCTAGTCTATAGTCTAGTCTATAGTCTAGTCTATAGTCTAGTCTATAGTCTAGTCTATAGTCTAGTCTATAGTCTAGTCTATAGTCTAGTCTATAGTCTAGTCTATAGTCTAGTCTATAGTCTAGTCTATAGTCTAGTCTATAGTCTAGTCTATAGTCTAGTCTATAGTCTAGTCTATAGTCTAGTCTATAGTCTAGTCTATAGTCTAGTCTATAGTCTAGTCTATAGTCTAGTCTATAGTCTAGTCTATAGTCTAGTCTATAGTCTAGTCTATAGTCTAGTCTATAGTCTAGTCTATAGTCTAGTCTATAGTCTAGTCTATGTCTAGTCTATAGTCTAGTCTATAGTCTAGACTATAGTCTAGTCTATAGTCTAGTCTATAGTCTAGTCTATAGTCTAGTCTATAGTCTAGTCTATAGTCTAGTCTATAGTCTAGTCTATAGCCTAGTCTGATCTATAGTCTAGTCTATAGTCTAGTCTATAGTCTAGTCTATAATCAAGTCTATAGTCTAGTCTATAGTCTAGTCTATAGTCTGGTCTATAGTCTAGTCTATAGTCTAGTCTATAGTCTGGTCTATAGTATAATCTACAGGCTTGTCTATAGTATAGCCTACAGGCTTGTCTATAGTATAGTCTACAGGCTTGTCTATAGTCTAGTCTACAGTCGAGTCTATAGTCCGATCTATAGTCTGGTCTTAAATAATGTTTTCTATTAGATAAAAATATCGAAAGAAGTAATATTAAATTATTTAGAATATTATTATTTAATAACAAAAATTAAAACAATTTTGAAATTTTTTTAAATATATTAGCATGCTATAACATTGATTTTATATTAATAATGACAATATCACTTCCACAAGGTCAGGCACTTAACGTACACCCCTTGAATTTTAGTTTATTACAAAATGCAAAAAAGTGCTATTTCATTTTTGTAGTGGGATAAAAATAAGTTGTACTATTTGTGGAAGTATGCATTCTATTTTTGAAAATCTAATAAAAAAATTAAAGGAAATGTAGAAAAATTAATAGGTAAGTACTAAACTTTTCTTTTAAAAACAGAGATTTTTTCAATTTGTTTAAATACCAATTAGTTTAAAATTAAATTCTTTCATATGTATGAATTTTTGGAACAGGTTCTCTTAAAAGATATAGCAAATCCATACCTTGACCTAAATATATAGACATTTTTTGCAAATAGAAGTTTAGACCATTGTTTATGTTAGCAGCCATCAATCACCATAATTATAAACTACATAAATATTTAATAATAGCAAGAAAACAATTCGTATAGGTATGTACAGAAAATAGAAGAACTTGTTTTTTTTCTTATATTAAACTGATATTTTAGTAAAATACAATTAAATTAATACTTTTCAAAATATCTTGAATGGCACTTTAATAAAAGCAAATTCAATAAAACATGAAGCAGCGCTACACTTTTTTTAATAGAGTCTATGCTGGTCTACTGTCTGGTCTATAGTCTGGTATATAAGCTATAAAAAATAACCAACAAAAATAGTGACTTCCAAAAATATGATTTTTTATACTTTGGGTCCTTAAATACGCTTAAAATTTCGAACTACTTACCTTTACATGCCGATATTAAAAAGTAGCCACTATCACAAACATCACTAAAATCCAAATGCACTACAGGGCGAGTGTGTCCACTGCAGGTTAAGGGAATCTGACGTAGATTTGTGGTCATTTTTGTTTGTTTATTCTAATACTATAGCTAACGCTGATAAATAAATACACAATACACTATATTCGAGTTTTAATTAAAAAATTTATAATGCAAGTTTTTTGTTTGTTTTTTAAATTAAATTTTTTTATAAGAATCTTTTATATCGATCAGTCTTAATGCACTTTTTATTTAATTACTTGTTTTAATGTTGCTTTTAATTATTTTCCAATTATTTAAATAATCCTTGCAAATATTTCTTTAGTTGTCTGGCAAATATGAAAAAATAACCTTTTACTTTTGGTTTGTTGTTGTCTTCTATATAAAAATTTTGTAATTTTTTTTTCTTTCTTCTTTTACTTTTTTAAGTTTTGTTGTTTAATGTTGATGATAATGATGATGTTGTTGTTATTGTTAGTGGTGGTGTGCTTTTTATGTCAGCCGTCGTTGTGTATGTTGTTGTTTTATTTTTAATTTTTCTTTCTCAGCTTTTTTGTGCTCTTTTTTGCAAAAGAAGTTGTTAAATTTTTTCTTGACGTTTGTCCCAAATTGAATTTTTATTAAAAATTTTTTGCACTTTTAATCAAATATACTTGAAAATTTACACTTTTTATTGATGAGAATTATGTAAAAAATTTAAATTATTTTGCATTTGAGTGCGTGTGTATTTGGAAAAAAACAAAAATGAAATGAATTTGTTTTTTTCTACGTTACCGACTTGACGCGTGAACCCGAATAAATGAACAAAGCGAATGACAACTATATGGTGAATTCGGGCATTTTTATTGTTTTTTTCGGTTTCTGTTTTCTTATTGGCTGTGTGGTGGAAAAAAATACACTGTAAAAATTAATATTTCATTAAATTTTTTTTTTTGATTTTTTAAAAAATGCTATGCATAGGAATTTTGAAATTGTCGGCTTTTGGTAGGGTTCTATAGTTGAAACGAAATTCGACTTTTCGACTTTTTTCATTTAGTTAAATGTCGACTTTTCGACTTTTTGCATTTTATGAAAAGTCAATTTTTCGACTTTTTTCATTTAATTAAAAGTCGACTTTTAGACTTTTCGAATATAAGTATTTTATAAATAGTCGACTTTTCGACTTTTTCCGATTTTTCGACTTTTTTTTGACTTTTTCCGACTTTTTTTGACTATTTTCGACTTCTTTCGACTTTTTTTTACTTTTTTCGAGTTTTTCCGACTATTTTAGAGTTTTTGACTTTTTTTCCACTTTTTTAAAATTTTCGACTTTTTTCTACAATTTTCGAGTTTCCGACTTTTTCCGACTTTATTCGACTTTTCGACTTATCGACTTTTTACGACTTATCGACTTTTTTCGACTTTTATTAACAAAGTCGACTCTTCGACTTTTTTCACAGATGATAGTCGAGTTATCGACTTTTTTGGAACAAAATAGTCGACTTCGACTTTTTTCGACAAAAAGTCGATTGTTCGATTCGATTGTTGGAACTTTTTTAGACTTGTTTGTGTAAGTGTATTAAAGTGCTAACAAAAATATCTAATTTTTTCAATAATTTTGTTTTACATATTTGACATATTTAAGTTTTTGCAATTTATAAAGGACGAAAAGTCAAAAAGTTGACTTTTTATAAATTCCAAAAGTAGACTTTTTGTTAAAACTATATATAGAATTTTCCAATTTGTTGGCTTTCTTCCATTTATTTCACTTTTTTCGACTTATATCTACAAAATCAATTATTCAACTTTATTTGTAGAAGATTGTGGACTTTTCAACCTTGTTAAATATTTGTAAATTTTATTAGCTATTTTTAAACTTGTTGTAGAGGCCGGGAGTCATCCTTTTTATTCAATCAAATTTTATTATAATTAAAATAAAATTTCATATTTTTAATTTAAATCATTATTTATGTTTTCAAGAAAACATTCGTTTTCTTCTTAAAAGCAGCGAATTAACAACACTGTCTCTAAGCATGCTTTTTTCGGCTTTTTTGACATTTTGTGTGTTTACATTACAAATTTAAACAAGGTGAAGTTATTGAAACAGCTGATCAGTTCTATTTGTACCTGAAAACTGTCAAATTCTGTATATAAAAAATAATTCTGACTGCACTGATACCGTCAAATCCCTTGCTTAAAAAAAACAGAATTCCCCCTTAACAACACCCTGTCACATTCGCCTCGTCTGTGTGATTTTGATGAAAAAAGGTCTTGTTTATTAAAAAAAATGTGTTTGCGCTAAAAATGTGAAGAAAATAAACGTTTATTAATAAGAAAAGAAATATTTTATTTGTTTTCTATAAAATGATTTACGAAAAACCTCTTAAAGTTTAAGTAAAAGAAGAATAAAACAAAATATTAAAAAAATTATTTTATATTAACAAAAATCAAAGTGTTGTACAATGGAAGAACTAAATTTGGATTTTCTTAAAACACCTCCCAAGCAAGGACATTCTGTGCCAAGGATACAAACTCCATGTAATTATAATGCACTGGATGTAAGATTTAGCAAAAAGAAACCGGCTTCTAGAAAATTTGAAATGGCGCAAACTATAGCCAAAGTAGATGAATTATTGCAGGAAATTGATAAACTTCGCAGTCAAAACAATGGCTTACAGGAAAGACTAAAAGATTTCCAACAGACAGCACAACAAGTCCAGCAGCTGTATAACAAAGAAAAACACGAGCATGCTAAAGCCAAACAAAATTTAGAAAAACTACAAGTGGAATACGATAAAATTGATGAGGATTTAACAAATAAGACTTTGATGAATGAGCAAATGAAGGCACGTTTAGCACAGTACGATGGACGACCCATAAATTTTGATAATCTGGTAGTTAAGTATGTAAGAATGATGAAGAAGCTAGAGGCGGAAGATATATTGAAATATTTACCTGATAAAGATTTAGTCGAAAGACTTAAGGAATACTGTGCCACCATGAAACTAAAAATAGCACCCATTAGTAGTCCCAAAAAAGGCAAAACGAGGAGTAATAAAATTAAAACTCAGGAAATGTTTATACAGTGTGATCTATTAAAATCTGCAGCAGTTTGTTTAAACTGTAGCAATAAACCTAAAATGCAAGATCAAAATATACAATGTTCCACACCACCAGCCATCAAACATGACCAAACTACACAATTTACTTCTTCCGCTAAACAGGAATGTCTAACTTGTAACAACAAACCAAAATTAAAAGATCAAAATACACAATGTTCAACAACAACAACAACAGCAACAAAACGTGATCAGGCTTCTCAGTACATAAGCACCATGATTACTCGACAAACTAATACTGAAAAGATTGTACAAAAACATGTACAAACCATGTTTCCAGAACCACAAAAAATTCCGGCAATTGATGATATATTGAACGTCTATTCCAGATGGTCTAACATAAGATCTGTATCACCTTTGTTGGAATCACCACCTTCACGTATTAAAAAGGATAATAACAAAAAGTCCATAAATACCGGCACTTGCACAATGTTGTGTAATATAAGAAGAAAAATTGATTATCTACCACCCAATCAGGCCAATAATATTAAACAGGAAATTATTACTCCTTCAGCCTCTCCAACGCCAAATACAAATCCCATAACAGCCTCAAATAGATCCCGCATTAGTTCACTTTCAAGTCAGGTTGCTAGCAATCAATATGCTAGCTCTATATTAAATTTATTCAATGCTAATACAAATTCAGCTCTGGGTCAATTATCGTCAAATGCTTTTAATGAACTTTGGCAAATATTTGGTAAAATGCTTTTGAGTTTATTACAAACAAGCAATGCTGGCATTGCAAATACAAATCAAAATTCCGCTTTAAATCAACAACAGTTCCTGGATTGGCTGCTGGATTTATATGTGAATTCTCAGCCGCCAAATACCTCTACAATAGAGACGCAAACGTTGCAGCAAATGGGTAAAATTTTGAGTTTTTTTTTTACAATTATTTGTTTTTTATAACTTTTTTATTTTTAGATAATTCTAATGACTCTAGGCGAAGTCCCATACGTTTTAATGAATCTTCTGTTTTGTCAACAAATGTTGTGAGACCAGAAGCTCAAAAAATCTTAACTGCTAGAACTAATACTGGAGAAGGAGAAAGTGTTGAGCCTTTAAGAGGTGACTCTATAAGAGGTAAGTTCAAAAGATAGGTTGATAGATAGATAGATAGATATAGATAGATAGATAGATAGATAGATAGATAGATAGATAGATAGATATAGATAGATAGATAGATATAGATAGATATCGATAGTAGATATCGCTAGCTAGCTCGCTATAGCTCGACTCGATAGCATCATCGATCTCGATCGCTTCGCTCGCCGCTACGATACTCGCTGATTCTATCTTGCTCTGCTCGCTAGCTCGCTCTCGCTCGCTCGCTCGCTCGCTCGCTCTCTCGCTCGCTCGTCGCGCTCGCTCGCTCGCTCTCGCTCGCTCGCTCGTCTCGCTCGCTCGCTCTCTCGCTCGCTCGCTCTCTCGCTCGCTCGCTCGCTCGCTCGCTGCGCTCGCTCGCTCGCTCGCTCGCTCTCTCGCTCGCTCGCTCGCTCGCTCCTGCTCGCTCGCTGCTGCTCTCGCTCGCTCGCTCGCTCGCTCGCTCGCTCGCTCGCTCGCTCGCCTCGCTCGCTCGCTCGCTCTCGCTCGCCTCGCTCGCTCGCTCGCTCGCTCGCTCGCTCGCTCTCGCTCGCTCCTCGCTCGGTCTCTCGCTCGCTCGCTCGCTCGCTCGCTCGCTCGCTCGCTCGCTCGCTCGCCTCGCTCGCCTCCTCGCTCGCTCGCTCGCTCGCTCGCTCGCTCGCTCGCTCGCTCGCTCGCTCGCTTCGCTGGCTCGCTCGCTCTCTCGCTCGCTCGCTCGCTCGCTCGCTCGCTCGCTCGCTCGCTCGCTCGCTCGCTCGCTCGCTCTCCTCTCGCTCGCTCGCCCTCTTGCCCTCGCTCGCTAGCTCGCTCGCTCGCTCGCTCTCGCTCGCTCGCTCGCTGCCTCGCTCTCTCGCTCGCTCTCGCTCGCTCGCTCGCTCGCTCGCTCGCTCCTCGCTCTCGCTCGCTCGCTCGCTCGCTCGCTCGCTCGCTCGCTCGCTCTCTCGCTCGCTCTCGCTCGCTCGCTCGCTCGCTCGCTCGCTCGCTCGCTCGCTCCTCGCTAGCTCGCTCGCTCCTCGCTCGCTCGCTCGCGCTCGCTCGCTCGCTCGCTCGCTCGCTCCTCGCTCGATCCTCGCTCGCTCGCTCGCTCGCTCGCTCGCTCGCTCGCTCGTCGCTCGCTCTCGCTCGCTCGCTCGCTCGCTCGCTCGCTCGCTCGCTCGCTCGCTCGCTCGCTCGCTCGCTCGCTCGCTCGCTCGCTCCTCTCTCTCGCTCGCTCGCCGCCCGCTCGCTCGCTAGCTCGCTCGCTCGCTCGCTCCTCGCTCCTCGTCGCTCGCTCGCTCGCTCGCTCGCTCGCTGCTCGCTCGCTCGCTCGATCGATCTAGCTTCGCGCGCTCGCTCGTCGATCTAGCTAGATCGCTCGATCGATAGATCTCGACCTCGCTCTCGCTCGCGCTCGCTCGCTCGCTCGCTCGCTCGCTCGCTCGCTCGCTCGCTCGCTCGCTCGCTGCTCGCTCGCTCGCTCGCTCGCTCGCTCTGCTCGCTCGCTCGATCGCTCGCTCGCTCGCTCGCTCGCTGCTCGCTCGCTCGCTCGGCCTCGCTCGCTCGCTCGCTCGCTCGCTCTCTCCTCGCCTCGCTCGCTCGCTCGCTCGCTCGCTCGGTCGCTCGCTCGCTCGCTCGCTCGCTCGCTCTCTCGCTCGCTCGCTCGCTCGCTCGCTCGCTCGCTCGCTCGCTCGCTCGCTCCCTGGCTGGCGGCTGCTAGCTCGCTCGCTCGCTCGCTCGCTCGCTCGCTCGCTGCCTCGCTCGCTCGCTCGCTCGCTCGCTCGCTCGCTCGCTCGCTCGCTCGCTCCTCGCTCGCTCGCTCGCTCGCTCGCTCGCTCGCTGCTCTTCGCTCGCTCGCTCGCTCGCTCGCTGCTCGCTTCGCTCGCTCGCTCGCTCGCTCGCTCGCTCGCTCGCTGCTCTCGCTCCTCTCTCGCTCGCTCGCTCGCTCGCTCGCTCGCTCGCTCGCTCGCTCGCTCGCTCGCTCGCTCGCTCTCTCCTCGCTCGACTGCTCGCTCGCTCGCTCTCTCGCTCGCTCGCTCGCTCCTCGCTCGCTCGCTCGCTCGCTCGCTCGCTCGCTCGCTCGCTGGCTCGCTCGCTCGCTCGTCGCTCGCTCGCTCGCTCGCTCGCTCGCTCGCCGCTCGCTCGCTCGCCGCTCGCTCGCTCGCTCTATAGATTCATTACTCCAAATTTTGTTTCATTAAATTTTTTATTTTATTTTTCAGAAAACTCTCATCATATTCAGCTACAAAGAGCCTCAATTAGCCCAATTCCTACTAGCATTACAACTTCAAGCGTCCTCTTAGAAAACTATTCACAGGATTCCAACTCCATGGACAGAGAAATACAACAAATACACAATGCCTCAAATACAACTGAAGTACACACTCCTTCCAAAAAGTCCAACATAACAGATGAAGAAAACACACTTAAACCGCACAAAAAATCATCAAACAAACCGAAAACTAAACACAAACTATTGGAAGAAATACAAGAGCTTATACCGGAACTTAATTTAAATAAAAAGAAACGTAAGGCTTTAAAAAGATTACTTAAAACTAAAGATCATCGCAAAAAGTCACATGAAACAAGAAAATCTAAACATTCTAAAGCTGACATCAACAAGCAACCTTCTGTTGTGGTATTATCGAATGAAACTATACCAAATGAAAGCGAAGAAACTGCCGTAGATTTTCTAAAAACATTCGCTCTTAAACAAGAGGAAAATATCTCAGAAACTGAGAAAATTTTCTTAGAACAAAGTTCAATTAAAGAGAAAGAAAAAATCCAGGAAGAATTTACTTTTATTAAACCCTCTAGCAGTTTACCACGAACTAAACTAACGACTAGAAATGACAAGGATTCAGAAAGAAAGCGTAAAAAATCTAAAGCTTGCAAAAATATAGCCGACAAGTATCAATTACTATTTGGTGATTCAGATAGTGAAATAGAAGAGCTAGAAATGGAGGAGAACAATGCCAAAACTGTGATAAAAACTAAACTAAATTTAAGTGAAGAGGCTTATAAAGAAGATATTAATATTAATGACAACTTTACAGAATATACCACAAATTGGTCTAATGCTGAAGTGATAAATTCTACAAATTTGTCACAAACTAATGGTTACGAAGAGAGTTATGACTCGAAAGCCTGTAGTGATTATGAATCTTGTCATTTAACTTTAAGACAGACACCAGAGCAACAATTTTCATTGCCTATTTTAAATACTCCAGTTTTCGAAATGTCTCTTGATGGCTGTGAAAATATCCCTGAAAGGTTTACAATACCCGACTTACCAACACCTTTATTAAAAAGACTGGAATGTGAGCATCTGCCCCAAATGGAATTGTTTGCAAATGTTAAAGATTCTATAGAATCAGATGTGCGTTTAAGGGAGATCGAACAGGATTTGCAAATATCTTCAGATGATTACAATTGTAAGGCAGATGTGACTGAAACAAATAATGATAATTTAGTTAATAATGAAATTGAAGTTCCTAACGTCGGGTTAAAACAAACACAAGTCATTGCTACACAAACTTCTACTGAGGAATCTTGCACAAACACTACAAAGTTAAAGGAAACTACTAAGATAGTCTGTGTGGAGAATAGTATTAACTGTTTGCCAAACTTAAGTGATGATACTGCTGCGGAGAATGGTTGTATTGTAGAATCACAACAGCAAGATTTTAATAACTCTGCAATGTATGCCAGTGATTTTGAAAAAGATCTGGAACTATCATCAGACAATGAAAGCCAAAAAGAACTTAGTAACGCTCCTTTGTATTGCAGTAATTTTGAAAAAGATCTGGAATTATCATCAGACAATGAAAGCCAAAGAGATGTTAGCAACGCTCCTATGTATATCAGTGATTTTGAAAAGGATCTAGAACTATCTTCAGACAATGAAAGCCTTATAAATGAAAGTTTTTGTAATGACACAAAAGAAATAAATCAGGAATTAGAACAAGAATTATCAAACCAAAGTTGCAACAAAACATTGGCTGCAACTACTTCAACTGAGTCAGACGATGATGAAAGGATTTCTAATGAAAGTGAAGAAAGTGAAATACCTAAGGAAAGTTTTAACCAAACTTTTGACTCTAATATCTCAACTGATTCGAATGAAAAAAGGATTTCTAAAGAAAAAGAAGAATGTGAATCACCAAGTAAATTTCTAGAACAAACAAAAGGCAAACCAATAGAAGGAGGAGCATATCATCATTTACTGCAGGAAGTAGATAATAACTTTGATGTTAATACAAAATCGGCTCAAGAGGTAATAAATAATGATAGCTGTAACCCCAGTCCAAGTAATTTAGATAAATCCAACTCTATTAAGGAACATTCATTATCTTGCTCGGTCATTACCAAAAATGACTCCACAATAATAGATAAAATAGAATTAACTAAATCGCCAGAAGGAACAGGATATAATCCTTTAAAACTAAGTGCCGTTGAAGAAAACAACCCTAAATTCCTACAGCAAACAGAAAACAACTTGAAGGTTAATAGAACTTTCACTCAGGAGCTAATAGAGGCTGATAGCACAACATCCAGTACAAGTAATTTAGAAAAAACAAACTCAAGAGAGGAAAATTCCTTGTGTTGGTCTGTAATTACCATAAATGATTCAACAGTAAAGGATAACACTTTAAACAAAACAGAATTGCCCAAAACACCAGAAAAGAAGAGCGTTAAGGAAGCTGGGGACAAAGTTAAAAGTTCAGGTTTAACAAAACTTAAACTTTTAGATTTAAATAATTCTATAACTAAAGAAATAGGAGAATCAATGAAGCCCTTTGGAAAAGTTTTAAAAAGTCCGGAATATAAAAGGAACTCTAATAGAACTTTTGAAAAAGATTTAATAAACAATCAAGATCACTTGAAACCCCCGGAAGGAAATTTATCAACTGTACAAAGGAATTCCATAAATTTTGAAAATGAAGTCTCCAAACTAAACAAAGAACTTATTTTAAATACATCTCTGGATACTGAAGATGAAACGGATGAATTAATGATCGATGAAGATCAAAATGACTCGAATTCAAAGGAAACAAACACCGAACTAATGAAATCTAATGAAAATTCGGATGAAACTATAAATTCATCTAATATTTCCACATTATTAAATAGTTCTCTTTATAATGAGGTGCTAACAGAGTCGCTGAATCCTATAGTAGATGATTTACTTAAGAATGATGTAATGGAACCCGACAATAAACCCAAAAGAGGAAGAAAACGTAAAAGTGAATGTTTAGCTGAAGTAATACCTTGCAAGAGATCACAACGTTTAAAGGCCAAACAAATGATATTGGAAGAAAGTTTAAATCTAAGTAAAACTCCTATCAAACTGGGTAAATATACAAAGATAAATAAAAATGTAAATAATGTTCTAAAGGAAGAAGCTAAAACTAAAATTGTAAAAATGAAAAGTGAAACTAGCGAAACGAACTGCAAATTAAAGGAAAATGAAGCTGCTATAGAAATGGGTTTCTTTCGGGAAAGATTAACAGAAGATAATAAAGATATAAAGAAACTGGAAAACCATAAAAGCTTTCTAGAAAACGAAATGGAGCCAACTCTAGAAAAATCCGAGTTAGATGAAAGTAACTCTCTTAATATAACAAAAATGTCCATAGATACTAATGATTTAAGAGATACCGAACAAAAAGCCCTTGAATTAACCTGCCACTACCAACACACTAGTACTACTGCCACAAAAGATACAAATTTTGTTTATTCCGATTCTCCACAATCTCCTCCTCCTCCTCCTCCTTCTACCTTAGAAAGTAACAATGAAACTTCTGTTAACATACCCAGCGAACGTCTTTCACCTTTTAAGCCTCAAACCAACAATCAAACTCTATTCGATGTTCTAATCGATTCCTATAGAAACGACAATCAAAAACATGTCATAGAATCCCTAAGCACCAAAGAAAGTCAACGTCAGAAAAATCTATTAACACAATATCACAAAGAAATCAATGCATTTTGTTATTCAGAAATGGAATTGGATCCTAATTGCACCTCCATACGTTTAATTAACAAACTTTTAAGTATTTCACCCGATTACGGGCTCATACAGAAAACTTTAATAACTATAGCCCAAAATTCGGAAGGTACAAATGTACAGGAAAACGAATTACCCTCGATAATACAAGAAATGCCTCCGCGACATTTGTCCAAATGTTTACAACGTTTATTTGCTTTGCTAAGCCATCTAACAGCAAGGAATGCTCGCTTTTGTCAAGATTTAATTGATAAAATAGAACTGCTGCTCTTTAATTGGAAGCAAATGGAAAATTTATCTTTACAAGCCACCTTGAATTTGACACAACTCTATTTAATGGCCTGTAAAGTTCAGGAATATGTACAAATGCCTAAACATCCAGCTCGCCTCTTTATAGCTAAATGTTTGTATTTTTATTTGCTAAAATCCACCCTTATGATTCATGAAGTACTGATGTGGTATCCTACCGTCTTGCCTCATCGTGAGGATAAAACCTATGATCGTTCGGATGCCTTAATAAGTGTTATACAACAAATTCTAATGAGCACGAAATATGACATGGATAAACCGGATTTACGTGGTAAATCTTTACTCTCTAAGCTGCGCTATGAATATCACTTTGAACCCTTTAAACCCGCCTTAGAAGAAGTCATCAATGTTTTGGTGGAGAAATTAAAAAATTCCAAATTTTATAACATCTCTCTGGCCTTTGGTTTATTGTGTAAGCGTTTAGGTGTTCCTAGGACACAACAGCTTATACTTGGCCAACACTTACTACCGCTGGTAAATGAATACTACAGTTTAGCTTTGAAAAGCACAGAGTATGATAAACGTATTGCCGTATTATTGGAAATTATATCGATGATTGTTAAACCATTTCCCGTGGAAACCGATGCTAAAATCTATTTCAATGAATTTGCTCGTTTTCTTAACGGCTTTGAGCGTCAACTTATTCAGGAGGCTGCCTTGTGTTCCATCTTACGTCTGCAACGTTTCGATCTGGAATATTGTTATAATTTACTGTGTCATTTTCAACCCACCTACGATTTAAATACTCACACTCAGGCTATGTTAAAGACATTTCTACATCGTCGTCCTTTAAACTATTGGAAGAATTTGAAGTCAAAATATCCTAATTAATATATACGTTAAGTTAATTAATAAGTGTTAATAGTAGTTTAACGATTAAATATTTTATTAAGGCAGTTTTATTTAAGTATTTTTGTAAGATAAATAAATAAAAGCAATATTTGCTATTTTAAAGGAAATTGTTGAAATCTCCTTGAATCGAAATTTACTTGTTATTTAACCGGCAAACAACTTGATCCTGCTTTAGAGTAGTGTTATAGATATGGTAATTTTAAGGAACCAGACCACAAGCTGGGCATTCTTTAGGGAAGGCGAGATTTAGGCGGAACCAGTAGGTATTAAGCCTGTTGCTCCATCCCGAACTCAGAACGATTCTGAGATTTCGTGACAAGTTTTCTTCAATCTTTGCTATAGGCTGTTGTGGGCCGTTCAATGATGTATACGAGGATCGATGCTTACGCACATAACTACGTACATACATATATACATGTGACCCTCTTTGTAAATTAAAATCGGAAAAGTCAAAAATGTCGACAAACCAGACTATGGACTAGACTAAAGATTAGATTATTCTCTAGAAAAACTCTAGAATATAGACTAAACTATATAACATTAGGGTTCTATAGTTGAAACAAAAAGTCGACTTTTCTACTTTTTGCATTTAGTTAAAAGTCGACTTTTCGACCTTTCGACTTTTTCCATTTTATGAAAAGTCGATTTTTCGACTTTTCGACCTTTTTCATTTATTTAAAAGTCGACTTTTAGACTTTTCGACTTTTAGTATTTTATAAATGGTCGACTTTTCGACCTTTCGACTTTTTCCGACTTTTCGACTTTTTCCGACTTTTCGACTTTTTCCGACTTTTTCCGACTTTTTTCGACTTTTTTCGACTTTTCGACTTTTTTCGACTTTTTCCGACTTATTTCGACTTTTTCCGACTTTTCGATTTTTTACGACTTTTTGACTATTTTCGACTTATTTCGACTTTTTTTCGACTATTTTTTTACTTTTTTCGAGTTTTTCCGACTATTTTAGAGTTTTTGACCTCTTTTCCACTTTTTTAAAATTTTCGACTATTTTCGACTTTTTTCGACTTTTCGACTTTTTCCGACTTTTCGACTTTTTCCGACTTTTCGACTTTTTCCGACTTTTCGACTTTTTTCGACTTTTCGACTTTTTTCGACTTATCGACTTTTTTCGACTTTTCGACTTTTTTCGACTTTTCGACTTTTTTCGACTTTTATTTACAAAGTCGACTTTTCGACTTTTTTCATAGACGATAGTCGAGTTATCGACTTTTTTGGAACAAAATAGTCGACTTCGACTTTTCGACTTTTTTCGACAAAAAGTCGATTGTTCGATTATTCGAAAGTCGATTTATAGAACATACCATAGAATAGACTATAAACTAGGCTATAAATAGACTAAAGGCTAAACTATAGATTAGAATACAGGCTAGACTATAGACTACTTATAGACGGTATTTTTCGACTAGACTATAGACTATGTTATAAAATAAACTAGACTATAGACTGTTATAAAATAAACTATACTACAGTCTAGACGGTAAACTATAGACTAGACTACAGGCTAAAATATAGACTAAACTATAGGCTAAACAATAAACTGGACTATTGGCCAGACTATAGACATTACTAGACTACTTATAGACTAGATTATAGTATAGACTATAAAAGGGTCTATTTTGTAAAAAAAATATCGAATAATTAAAAAGTAAAAAAACGTTGATATAAGTATGACAGAAAAAGTAGAAAAAAAGTTTAAAAGGCGCAAAATAGTATGAAGATCAAAAATTGCCAAAAAAAAATCTTTATTTTGTTTCAACTATATAGAACTCTACTCATATTTTAAAACACAATTATGTTTTTTTAGAAATATCACACAATTTCTATCACGTGTAAACAATTTCAATGAAATGTTTAACATCAACTCTGATTTTTTTAGTATGGCAATACTGTGCATACAAAAACAAACCGCAGCCAACTTCACTGGGTGTTTAATCATAGTTTTCAAGTAACCGATAACCGTTTGAACAATTTTCTGTTTCTCAAAATGAGTACTTAACAAAAATTCTGGGAACAATTCTTTCATTTATAAATTAACAAGAAACGTGACGACAACATTGAAATTAGTTTTTTGTCAATATTAAGGCAAATAATAAAATTAAACAAAATGGAAATTTTAATTAAAAACCTAAACGTGTGAGCTACATTTTGAATTCGGCGGTGAAATTTGAAAATGCATTGGAAAATTTCTTAGAAATTGGGAAAACCATGTGGAAATTTATAACTTTGAGGTTAGTATTTGTAAAAAAAGGATATTTTTAATGTTTGTTTAAATGATGATTTTACGTACCGCCCCAGTCTGAACGTTAAATGTTGATTGGTTTTTTTTTTAACTGAAATTTCATAAAAATCTATTGAATTTAGACATTTTTGGAAATAAATTAACTAATTTTTATATATTTTATTATGATTTTAGTGTGTAAACTCTGAGGAGATAAACAATCTGGAAAAATGCTGTTTACGATGTAAAGGGAAATGAGTCCTGTTGTTCTAGAATCGTGTAATCATAAGGTAAGCAGAGTTTTACTATGAAACTTTATAATATTTGTTAAAGTGATGATTTTACGTACCGCCCCAGTCTGACATTTCATGTTGATTGGTTTTTTTAACTGAAATTTCATAAAAAAACTACCAGAATTTATAACTTTTTGGAAGCAAATTTACTAATTTTTAACCTTTTTTTATAATTTTAGGAACTCTGAAACAATTTGGAAAAATGCCTGTAAAGTTTGCAAAATATCCGATTGAAAGTGATTTCTCCAAGAATCGTGTAACCATGAGGTAAGCATTGTATTTCAATAAAACTATTCAAAATTGTGTTATTATGATGATATTTATAGTAGACAAGCATATAACAGAACTTTTTATGTTGATTACTTTACGTCTGAAAAAAACGTAAAAAATATTCTGTTTTTATTAACAAAATGTATAGAATTGTAGTTTAACACGTGGTTTTTTTACTTGTATCTTTCAGAGCTACTTGGCAGACATGTTTCAATTCCAAAATTAAATAAAAAATGGTTGCTAAACACGCTGTTTTATTACCACAATGTTTCAAAGATGCCAGATCATGTGTGCATAGCATTAGGTAGGTGGGTATTCATTTTTAAGAAAATTTGAAATTTGTTCTAAATTTATGATATAATTTGATCAAAAATTAAATCATAAATTATTAAGTTTGGCAATGATGATATTAGTTATCCCTGTCATAAAGCAAAGAATCTTGATGATACCGGTTGACTGAAACTAACTTAAATAACAATTTATATTTTTAAATTTTTATGATTGTATTTAAACATTTTATTAATTTTGTTGTAATTTCTTTTAATTGCAGTTTACCCTTTGGTGTGATTGAATGGTATTGCAGTAAAATCTTTGAAACAAGAAATTCCTAATTATATATGTGATATTTTGTGGATTCAAAAAGATTTAATAAAAAACACGTTTTCATTAAAAACATTGTATTTTTGTATTATTATATTTTCTTAGTTCAGTCTGAAATTTTTTACTCTGAATATTAACATTTCGGCACCTTGGGGGGCGAAATGCAATAAGTACAGTCTACCTTATAAAATATCAAATAGGTTTTGTATCCTTGAAAGTTGTCTAAAAAATAATCAGATGAATGATGAAATATTTGTTTTCTGAAAGTTTTAATTTCCGACTTGGATTTTATTCTGATGGTTAATGTATCACTGCACTGTAGCTGATAGTTTGAGATGTTGATGCGCATCATAGGTAGATTTCTGTGATGCATTTGAGGACGTATGACGAATCATGCAGATCAGTGATTCATTTCCTAAAAGGTATTAATTATACTGCATTTAAATCAGAAACTGCCTAATTTTTAATTATTTCAGTGTTTTTTTTTATTTGAAATACCATAACGCTGTTTTTCACCGTTTCGAAACTGTTACTCTACCAATCTCAGATCTGGCTCCATTTTATAAATACAATTTGTGACTAGTAATATAAATCTCCCAAAAAAATGATTCCATTTTTGTTTTTTTTTCTGGCCATTTTATCACTTGACTCAATTTTTTTAATTAAAAAGTAATACATAAGTTTGTGTGCTACTTTTTTTAAACGAATATCAATATTTATACATAAACGCTTGCCGACTGCTGACTGCAGTCGCAATTGTAATTCAACTCTGTTACAGCTCAAAATTCAAATGTCTGTTTCATTCCAGCCCGTTTCTTTACAATTGAAATGTTATAATGTATTTATACTTGCCGGCTCTATTGTGAATGACATCAAAAACTTTTTGCAACAACAATTTGTTTACATTTCTGCTTCCTCGGCTTTAATTTGTAAAAATTCTATTAGAACTTGTGAAAAGTGGTGAAATTTTATTGTGAAAACAAAAGAAAACATGTTTTCCTATAATTTACCTAATGGTGGCTTAAAAACAAAAACCTATAAAACACCTGAAGGACAAATAAAATTTGATCCTCCCGTTTATGAACAACGCTATACAACAGCCGTACGCATTATAGAGGATCCCCACTGGAAGCAGCCATTGAAGAAGGTATTAACATTAAATTTGCTGTTGTTGCAGACAATATCCATGTGTTATTGAATTTTAATATAGATTGTAGATTTTGGTTGTGCTGAACTGCGCCTCCTAACGCTACTACGTCGTATACCCCATGTGGAGCATATTTTAGAG